GAGGGCAGATGTGGGGAGAAGGATGGAGGGCTGTGAGGGCAGTGCTTGCCCCGTGTGCAGGCAGAGCTGTGAGTGTGGGGAGAAGGATGCAGGGCTGTGAGGGCAGTGCCTGTGTGGAGGGAAGCATGCAGGTCTGTGAGGGCGGTCTGTGCCCCGTGTGCTCGTTCCCTTTGCCGAGCTGTCCGCAGAGCTCTCCTGCTGCTGCAGCTCCTTTCGGCCGGTTCTTTTTGTGGATTTGAGCGGGACAGAGCGCTGCTCTCTGTCTGGGACACACAATGGGCTGACAGGAAAACAGTGCACCCGACATCAGGGCTCTGTGAGAACTTGAAAGGGCTCTAGACAGACATATTTTGCATTTGACTCTGGACTGCAGCCTTTGAGGCCAGACTCGGGCCGCAGTGTTAAGTGGCCGCTAAGTGTTTCCCTTCTTGTGCCGCGCTGAGGGGGCGCTGGGAGCGGGCCGGGATGTGAGGGAGGGAGGGAGCCAGGGGAGGGCCCTTTCCAGTTCTGCGGCCCGATAACCGCAATCCACAAACTGCAAAAGGAAAAGTCTTCTCTCAAGTTTATAATGTACAGCTTTTTGTCTACCTGAGCTGCTTTCCCAGTTCCCCTCCAGAGCAGGCCTTGTCACAGCTGCCCTGTGGCCTGTGACCCATCCCCGCAGCTCTCGGAGCCCCTGTCCTGGGAGCCTGTGGTGAATTAGCGTGGAGATGTTACCAACAGGCCCTCTCCAAACCCATCTGCTTTGCTTTGCCAAATGTCATTTTTGCACTCTTGAGAGCACAGGGAAAATCTGGAGGTGGTGCAGTTTGGGGCTCAGTATGGGGTTTGCAGCCCCACAGAGATCTGCCTTCTGTGGGGTCCCTTGCATTGTCCCAGGGTAGGAAGGTGTGCATGGCACTTGTAATATCATTGAAGACACCAGATAGCTTTTTCTCAGGAAAAAAATAATCAAAACCATAAAAAAGATAGGGAAAGTGCCATTTTCCTCCACCAGAAGAAAATGCTGTGTTATGTGAGCTGCTGTAAGGAGCTGGGTAGGAACTGTTTCTTGTGCTGCAGCATGATAGGAGATATGTACACTTCTTCAGAGGCTCTCAAAACACTGCAGGCTTTTACCATTCCTGTAGCCGCCCACAGAGACTTGCTCAGAAAGCTGCCCAAGTTCAGGCTGTGCCTGTGCTGCCAGAGCTCAGCAGCTCTGTCCTGGCCAGCCCTGCTCTTGTATTTCCTATTTTCTGGGTGAGGTGTCAGGCACTAACAGGGACAAGGAGTCACAGGCTGGCACAGCTGTAGGAGCAAGAGTTTCATCAAGCTTTTTCTCTGGAAAAACTCAGCTTTTCCTTATGGCTCTGTGTGCATAAATCAGGCTGCATTTGCTTCACAGTGAGCTCAGCCTGGATTTAAGGAGGAAGTTTGTGGATTCTGGAGAATCAGAGACCACTTCACGTTTTTAATGAAGCATGAAAGTAAGTAGGTATCTGTGTAGAGCTATCTGTTTTATTTTTGGCCCTGTTGATGACATGCTGTCTTTTCACTTTCCAGTACTCATTCTGTGCAGATGGCACAGGATCTTTCACAAAGAGTTGCCAAGATGCTCTGGGGCTGTGGCCTCTGTGTGCCAGGTGGAAATGGGCTAAGTGAGTCCCATTTAAATGGCAGGAAGGCTTTCCTCATGTTTCAGAGGGGAGGATCTCTTAGATGCAGCTTGTACTGCTCCATGTTGTCCTTCCCTGCCTGTGCAGGTCCAGGCAGACAAGACAGCCTTGCTCTAGCCCAGTTTGTTAGAGCTGACATGGTAACACTTCCTCACAGAGGGAAACCTGGGGGCTGGGTACTGCCTACTGCACCCACGAGCAATAACCCAAGGCAGGTTCTGTAGCCATGATATTTTCTGAAAAATCCTTTGCTTAGGATTTTTTCTCCTGAGAAGCTGAGAGGCCTCAGGAACAAAATGTAAACAATGATTATCTGCTGCTGTGGAATGCAACAGGTGCATCTGGGATTGGTCTCATGTGGTTGTTTCTAATTAATGGCCAATCACAGTCCAGCTGTCCAGACTGTCTCAGTCAGTCACAAACCTTTGTTATCATTCTTTTTCTATTCTTAGCCAGCCTTCTGATGAAATCCTTTCTTCTATTCTTTTAGTATAGTTTTAATATAATGTACATCATAAAATATTAAATCAGCCTTCTGAAACATGGAGTCAGATCCTTGTCTCTTCCCTCATCCTAAGACCCCTGTGAACACTGTCACAAGGTTCTTTTGGAAGATAACTTTTACATTTCAGCTGTCTCCCAGGCAGTAACTTGGAGCTTGCTCTCAGGGCAGGATGCTCCCCTGGAACTCTGCCTGGGCAGAGGTGGCAGTGCCACTCCAGCCCCATTAGCCAAAGCCTGACCCCTTTTCTGTTCTCCAGAAGCCAGCAATGGCAGGATATCACTGTGCTGGAGAGCTTGTGTACAAAGCAGCTCCCTGCAGGGCCCTGCTGAGCACTAAGGGTTAAACCTTCACTGAAGGTGGGAGAAATGCCAGAAAACATTTGCCTTACTACAAAACCCAGAGGGAAATGTTTCTTTCTAATCAGCTTCTCAAAGAGATGCAAAGCAAAAGCTCCTGGCCTGTGCTTTTGTCATCACACATGGCCTCCCTCCTGCCCTAGCTCATCCCCTCAGCATAGGGCAGAGCCTGCTGTTAGAGCTGGGCTCAGAGCAGGGCCCTGTGTGTCACTGACTCACACTGTCAGATCCACTCTCTCCCATCCCTTTCCATACCCTCAGCCTCCAATTTGCCGGTGAATTGTTAGACCCCAGCACAGTCACCTCTGACTTCCATCAAACTGCCTGAGGGCTCTCCGTGGATGGACAGATGAGGGTAATGTGCTAAATTCCCCCTTTGCTAGGGATGAATTTCCTGGGGATTGCTCCTATTAGCCACGCTTTCCAGCAATAGTAACAAATTCACTTTTAAAACATTTCCAGTGCAACTAGAATGGCTGGGAGAAAGCTGATTGTTAACTAGTCATGGGTAATTAATGGCTCCACCTTCCCCATCAATCAGCTGGGAGAAGCCAAAAGGATTTGAGCGCTTGCAGCAAATGTGCTGTTCCCCAGACATGCTGATACACAGTGTGCAAATGAAGTGGCAGCAGGAGACCATCTCCTAGCCTTTGTGGAAGCAGCAGTAAGTCATGATACACATCCCACGCTCCTGTCAGGTGAAGTCTGAAATTCCCAGAGCTGCTGCTGCTGTTGTGCAGTTTCTGACTGTGTGGGATGTTGATTCATCTCGCTGCTAGCTTGAATCTGACCCAATTTTTGTTCTATTTTTCCTTTTCAGATTCTGATTATGGTTGTCTTTTTCCGCTTTCTACAATTAAAATACTAGCATTAGGAAAGCAGGACATGGAGGGGGAGCAGATGCAATGCTGGCTTTCCTTCTGTAGCACAGCAAAAAAACATTTCTGCATCCTATTTTGTTTGTGTCTGGTAGTGGCTGTGCAAGCCCAAGCCAAGATCTGACCTTGATACCATTTCAGCTGACCTTTTCCCTTCTGATTTATTTCTCCCCATATTTAATAAATAACTTCCATTCAAGCCACAAGTTGGCATTTCTCCACCACATGGTATTCCTCTCTTCAATATGCTGAGACTCCAGAGCTCTGGATATCTCCAAATCAGGGAGAAAGGCCTGAGGCTTCTGTGTTAGCCAGTGGTTTAAAAGAGATGCCAGCAAGGCTGGATGTGGTTCTGCAGAGGTGCCAGGAGCCAGTGGACCCATATCCTGCTCTAAATCCTCCTCAGGACTTTGCAAATTCTCCAACCCTTTTCTTTAAAAGATTCTTCCTTGCCACACTAAGCAATGGCTTTTCTTTCCCTGGCTAGCACTGGGATGCCTAAAATTCAATATACCCCTGGAAGATAATCAGTCCCTGCTCTGATTAAGCTCCTTTGTCCTCTCTGCACGTCCTTGCATTGCCTGCTCCAAAAGGCAGTAAAGACAGAACTGAAGGCTTGTTTCGGTGTAGAAACTCACGAAATAAATTCAAAATTTGTTTTGTACGTCAGACAAAGAAGATGAGATGTCCCAGTAACATCACTGACAAAATCGAAAAAAGCGGGGTTTTTTTATTTGGAATAAATCTAGACAGTGAAAGAGATGCAGCCTTGTAGCAAGTTCTTTGTAATGAACAGAGCTCCTAAATTTGCTGTTCAGGACACAGCCCTGGCCTGTTCAGAATGATATTCTGCTTTTGACCTCCACTTTTTGACCGTGTTGGTCCTGTAAATGTTAGTACAGCCATTTGTGTGTGGGAATGCACAGAACCCCCTTCCTCAGGAGGTGCAGTGCCTGGAGCTTGAGCCTTGATTGCTGTCTCTTAGCACTTGTAAGCACTTATAAGCACAAAAGCTAATGGTCACACTTGCAGAATAAACTAATTAAGGGAAAATGCTCAAGCCCTTCAATTTCTGCTCAGCCTTCCCTGGGTAAGAGCAGTGCCTTGAGCAAGGCATAACCTCAGTGCCTGATCCTCCTGGAAAGGAACTGCAGCTCAAGGTTGGGAATGCAGAAATTGGGCAGATGAATGATGTTATACCATCAAATGTGTTCGTTGTTATTCACATTCATCAGTGGCTGAAGGGAAGTGTTGCTGCAGCATTCCAGTGGGGAGAGCAAACTTTGCACAGACTGTCAATCACCCCCTTGGGAAGGAAGGAGCTGGATGCAGTCCTGATTCTGATACCAGAAATCCAGAGCAGAATGATTCTGTGTGCTCAAGATGAGAATCATCACAAACCCATGGAACGGCCAAAGAGAAATTATCCCTGCTTGCTGTTTAAAGGATTTGTTTTTATTTTGTAGCCAAGTCGTGAACTGATGTTTTCAGTCTTGTCTCTATTTGTTTAAAAGTGCGTTAGCAGTAAATCAAGGTGCATTTCCCCTGTAGGGTTTCCTGTATGTCAAAGCCATGTTAATTCTCTTTGATTTTCTTCCCTTAGCCCCAGCCATTGCTGCAGATCCTTCCTCTCTTTGTCCCTTCGGACATCAAAGGCTCGCAAGGGGACAACCCTGGCGGGAAGCTCCTCCCTGCTCATTAGCCCCCATAAAACAGGAACTCACCTTGGCTAGCTGCGCTTGGAGTCCCATCCTCACCCCGCTCACTCTTGACACTGGATCTCGGAAGGAAGGGCTTGTGCTTGCCTCAGGAAATCGGACCTGCTTTGGAACTGGACTATTTTGGCTCCCCTTGGAAGAACTCTGGTGGCTCTCTTGGCCCTGCGAGCTCCTCGACGTCACAGTACATGGAAAAATGCAAGCTTTACCAGGTAAGTGAAGGGCTCCTTCCCTTTCTCACTGCACGGAAAGATCCTAGGCTCATGCCAGAAAGTGCTCCTGAAGGGCCTACCAGCATCTTAGAAGAATCCATGGGGCTGGAGAGGATTTTAAAAATTGATTTTTTCATGGGACTAGATGAAAAATTGTACATTTGAGTGGTTTTTAAGAGCTTTGGAAGATCTTTTGTAGAGGTTTGCTCACAATTATGCCCAAAATTCCCTTACCCACATCACATCATGCAGTGTGACCCTTCAGCTGAAGGCTGGAGGTGTTTGTGTATTGTCTGCAAAGCACTGGGTTCTTCAGGTTGAAGGCCACAGAAAGTTTGGAAATACTTGTTATATTTTTAATAACACTTCTGATACGAACTCTCTGATTTGGGGGTTTTTTTTCCAATTTCCTGTGTCCTTTGAAAGCATGAACCCCAATCAGGCATAGCTGACTCCTGCCAGGTTCATGCCCAGCACAGGATTTTTGTGATTTCCCTGGGATTTCATTGTGTTTTCCTTCAATCCATCTCATAGCATGCTGCTAATCCCTCCTGTGTGGAGCATGGATTGGGCACAAGGACAGAGATGCCTTGGGACACTAAGGGCCAGCCCAGAGGTGCTGCATTTGTCAGGGCAACTGAACCCTAAATTTCCTAAACTTCCTTCTGATTTTTCTCTACATCAGAAAGAAAACCTGGCCCAGTTTATCAGAGGCACATCAGAGGTGACTGTGCAGTCTCAGCTTCCTTGTTCTTCCTCTGCAAGATGTTGTGTCATTCATGAGCAAAATACATGTGCAGTGATTGAGATGATTTCCACCTTTGCTGCTGTTTTGGGTTTTTTCAGTCCCTGCTGCGTTGATCTGATTCATACTGATTTCTGCCACTTGAATTTTAAGTTGAAAAACAAAAGAGCAGCAATGAAAAAAAAAAAGTAGACTGTATTATGGATTTTTCATGTTAAAGATTCCAAATATTGCAGTGTTCAGCTCATTTTCTTACTGGGTTGGTTCTGTGTATGACCCCCTAGAGCAGAAATGTTCCAGGTGAGGATTGGATGCATCTGAGAGATGAAGCTGTTGCATTTGTAAAACAACATATTTTTGTTATTGCCCAAAAACTCTCTGGGTCTGAGAAATGAGGCTCCCTCCAGAGGGCTGGGGTGTTTCTGCTGACATTGAGAAGATCAGAGACCATGGGAGGGGTTTTTGTGCTTGTTTGCAAGATGAATTTATTAGAAAGCTTTGTATATTGATGTGTGTTCATCCCTGGTGGGGACTGGATAGCTGTGAGTGTTGGGCTCCACTTGGAAGATAACAGCAACAAATGTAATAATAACTGATTTTAGTGCAGTTTTTCCCTTATTGGAGTTTTCCCAGTATTGCAAATCATATCCTACACATTTTTTGGGAAGGCTGCAGCAAATTTTCTGACATTTTAACATTGTCTCAATGAGGGAAAATTAATTGAGGAACTGCTTTAGGTGAGGGAATTGCACTCCAGCATCTTCTATCCAGAGATCTTTCTCCTAAAGCTACTAAATTGTCTCACATTTCTCCTTCTTTCCTTTCTGTCCCCAAGATGACAAAAAGATGTGTATGGCTCATTTTAGATACAGAAACTGTAGCACAAGCTACTCCTATTGTTATGAGGACCTTGAAATCAAGCACAGAACAGATTGAAGATCTCTTAATTTTCAGTGCCTTTACCATAGCAGCTGCCTCCCTTTCAACCTCATCTGGACATAAGGAACATGTTTTTGAACAGACCATGTGTGGTGTTAGCAACACAAAGATAATAGGAATATTTTTTAAAAAGTAAAACTAGAACTGCTGGAAAAGGTTTAAATCTCTTTTAGATAATAGTGGTTTTAAAACCACGTTGCACAGAAGGGGAAACCATAGAAGTACAGCTCACACAAGTTCCAGTCAGTGCTTGGACACTCTGCCCAAACCTCTCCATGCCATAGTTCCAACACTCAGGCATCTCTGTGGGAGGGTGAGTGCCTGAGCCTTGCCATCAGTTACACAGGCACAAACTGGGAGGGAAACAAAAATCCAAACAGAATCCTACAAACAGATCCATCACTGCAGGGCCCTGCTGAAGCAGCTGAGTGGATCCATTCCCCAGCTCACACCATGGCAGACTGACCATGTCCTGCTTTTCAGCCCCAGCCTGTGCACACAAACCTGCACAGTGAAAGGCATTAACTGCATTTTCAAACCTCAGCTGCAGCATTATTGTCCCTGGCTCCTGCAGCATTGTGCTCCTGCAGGTGCATTGTGGACTCATTGTGGTAAAAACCAGATTATAATATCTGCCTTTGATTTTTAATTCAGTGTTGAACTCCTTCCACTTCAGTTCCTCTCGACTTCATTGGAAATCTCCCCTCACTAAAGACTCCTGAGATCTGCCTTCTTGTAGTCTCGTTTAATGGCATTGGAATTTGCTTAAAGAAATGTTAATTCGCAAATTCATTTGGGGAAGGAGTGAGCATCTGTCTAGCTAATCAAAACCTGTTTGCATTTATTTGTGACTGGATGGCTCCTGTGGGAAATCAGCCCAATTTTATTGTAACTCCTTTTGATACATGTGCTGCACTGAGCTACCAAATGCGTGGTCTCATGGCAGCTTTCATGTCTTTGCAAGAGGATATGGGGGAAGCTTTCGTAAGAAGATGTTAACAGGCTAATCTTGGTGAGCAAACTAGGTGTCACTTCTTGGCCAGTTCATTAATGTTGGATCAAAGCAGAAAAAAGGGTAGAGGATTTTTTTTTTTTTTAATGGCTTAAGACCTCTACAAACAGACAAAATTACATTTTAATGTTTTCTACTTCTTAATCCTGAGGGAAGAACCACTTAGAGTTGTATTGGGTTGTTTTGGTGGAAAGATGTCCCTTTGTGAAAAAAGCTAATTTCTCTGAAAATAGTTGTCTGTTTTTGTGAATACTCTTTTGAAGGCATTACTCAGGAAAGCTGTAACAAGGTAAAAATTCCCTTTTTTTTTGCTGTGCTCTGAATAAGATCTGATCAGGCTGAGAGGCAGAAAAATCTGCCTTTTAAACAAATAGCTGTGCCTGGCTGCTAATGCAGCACCCAGAGGGGACAGCCCAGCTCCTGTGCTGCCCTGCTGAGCAGGCTCCTCACCCCTCCTCAGGGCAGCGTTCCTAAGCCCTGCTGGGTCTGAGCTCAGCCCACCAGAACTGCACTGGGTCACATTCTGACCTAAAATGGAACTGGGCTTTTCAGCAGGGCAGCAGCAATCTTGCCTGCCTTACAGTATTGCTGAGAGCACTTGCTGGGGGTTTTAAGGAGGTTTTTAACCCAAATAGCTGTGCAGAGGTGATTGGTACCATTGACAGCAGTTCCTCCAGAATGGTTTCCCTTTCCTCTCCCCCAGCCCACAGTGGGTTCTGTGCCTCAAGAGGCAGAGCAGGCAGATTGCAGCACTGCCATGGGGTGTTACTGAGGAGAACCTTCCACCCCTGTCACAGGCTCCTCAGTGGTGCCCAGCTCCACTTCCAGTTCAGAGCAGCCATTCCCTTCTCAGAATATAGTCTGTCCACAGTCTGTCACCTTCTTTTCTTGCCTTCACTACATTAGGGCTCCTGTCTGTCTCATCTTTGTCTTCTGGGGCATTTTTCACCTCTGCTACCACCCACTTGTTATTTTCCCCTGTTACCCACTGTTAAAATCTTTCCAGTCCTTTCAGCTTCCTCTGTATTCTCTTGATGAAGTGTTTTGTGTAACCCTGATCATACCAGCACAGTGATTGTGGCTACCTGCCAGTGTGAGTTTTGTAACAGTGGAATTTAGGTTGGGTTGGTACAACACACAGATCTTACTAAAGGACCCACCAGCTAAACCCAAACCTGTTGGGAAATCTCCCTACCTCTGAGCCTACTAAATAACAGAAATCCTGTGAAGAAAAGGAACAGTTTTTAGGGGGTTTGGAGTGGCACAGACTGCCCAGAGCAGGGGTCAGTTTCCCTCCTGTCTGTCTGCAGCCAGTGTCGCTTTTCTCCCTGCAGACGTGAAAGCGCCGTGTGAGGCCCTTCCCTCCCCCAGCCTGGAGCCCTTCCCACAGAGCTCCATCGTGGTCACCCTTGAGGACATGGGGCTCTGGATGAAGTTTCACCAGATAGGAACTGAGATGATCATCACCAAATCTGGCAGGTAAGGGGCACAGGACAGCTGACCACACACATCACACCCCTCCGAGCTGTTGGCAAAGTCTCCAGGTGATCAGTTTTTGAATGGTGGCCCTTAAACTGCTTTTGTAGCCAGTTATGAAGATCCTCCTGATCCTGGCAGAAGAATTGCACTTTCAGGGTGTCATAGGAGTCCAAACTGTGAAGTGCAAAAGGTCACTTGTGGGGCTGATGTGCTGAGAAAACTCCTGTACCCTTATCTCACCACTTAACACTGGTGCTCTTCCTGTCACTTTGAGGTTGCTCTGGAAGTGCCCTGGGCTCCCTTTGCCTGGGTCACAGGCAGCAGCAGTTGAGCAGTAAATGTTTGGGTTTGAGTCTGTGTTTGCAGACAAAAATATGGCCCAGACTCTTAAAGATCTGTGTGTGCAGACTCCACTGAAGTATAAATGAGTCATGTATCGTGGAGCTTGCAGTGAAAGAAGATGGAATTGTGAAGCTGTAAAGTATTGTGTCAGAGCTGCTGTGAGCTGGAATAATCCCTTTGGGTAGGGAGGTAGCTGTCAAAGCTTTTTTGCAGAGTCAAAAGTTAAAAGTAGTGGCAGGGAGTAGGGGAACAGAAAGCTGGGTGTGCTCTTAGATGAGAGCACGTCTTCTGCCCACGCTCAGGTTTAATCCATCCTCCAGGGCTGTGAGGGCTGCAGCAGGCCAGGAACTACATACAGCCTCCAAATAGCTCCTTTCAAGTTTCCCACTGCTGTGTTAGAGGAATTGGAAGAACAAAAGCTGAAACAGTGTCAGGCCCTCAGTGCCTGCTGCCCTGTTAATGTCTGTCCCATCCAACCCCACAGGACTAAACAGTCCATCAGTGAGATGGACAAATGGTCAGTGGCTGGCTGGAGGAATACTGCTCACAGGGCTTTGCACAGTAGTGAGCAAATGTGCCATGCTGCTTGATCATTAACAGCCACTGTTCAGAGAAACCATTATTCTCTATTTTTCATTTCTCCCTCAGACGAATGTTTCCTCAATGCAAAATCAAAGTCTCTGGCTTAATCCCATATGCCAAGTACCTCATGCTGGTAGATTTTGTGCCAATGGATAACTTCAGGTACAAGGTAAGTACTTCAAATAACAGAATTTATGCTATCCTTTCATCTTTGTTTGAAATAGATTGATCTTTATGCTTCACTTGTCACACTGATAAATAAATTCTCTTTGGACAAAGTTCAGAAGTAATTGATGGATTTTATGTCTCTCTGGAGTTATTTGTCAGTTTTGCTTGGGGAGCAGCTGGAAAGGTAACTAATTTTCATTGTAAGCACTACAGTTTTAATCATGATTAATGTCAGACTTTTCTGGCAGCCATAGGGGGAAAGGGAGGAAAAATGAAGCCTAAACTTGGAGCTGATTTGGTAACATGATCATGGCTCATAAGAGAGAATCTGCTACTTGTGCTTCAGAGGAGTGCACTGAATTGACAGTGAGGCAAACTTGCTGGGCTTTTTCTGTACTGAAAGCACTTTTTTTAAGCTCCAGATTTCTGTCTTTTCCCTCACAGTGGAATAAAGATCAGTGGGAAGTTGCTGGAAAAGCAGAGCCCCAGCTGCCTTGTCGCACCTATGTCCACCCAGATTCCCCAGCTCCTGGCAGCCACTGGATGAAGGAACCTGTCTCCTTCCAAAAACTGAAGCTCACTAACAACACTCTGGATCAACATGGGCATGTAAGTTGTGCTGTGCTCTCTTGGAATTCATTGCAGATGAACTTTGTGGGAAATAAGCAGGAATTGTGAGAAATTAGATGATGTAGAAGTTAAAACATATCCACGTGCCCTTTTTTCCTCCCTCAGCCCAGCCCTTGTGCCCCCTTGGCTCCCTGCCAGGGAAGGCACAGGTCTGTGCTGTCAGACACCAATCCCAAGGAGTCCCTGCTTGGAAATGGGTGTCCTGGGAGTCTGCACAGGGGATGTGCAGTGTGCTGGCAGTGGTGGCACATGGAAACCTTGTCCCTTGTGTGTCCCAGATCATCCTGCACTCCATGCACCGTTACAAGCCGCGCTTCCACATCGTGCAGGCCGACGACCTCTTCAGTGTCCGCTGGAGCATCTTCCAGGTGTTCAGCTTCCCTGAGACTGTCTTCACCTCTGTCACTGCCTACCAGAACGAGCAGGTACGGTGTGTAGGCTCTGCTTTTGGACATGCTGTCTGTAAAATTCCTGTAGAGGAGGTGGCTCCTTCCAGTCTGCTCATCCTGGGCACCTGTGGTGAACAGTGGGATGAAATAGGCACATTGTGGTTCCTGTGGAAAACATCTCCTCTGTGATGAGTCATGCACTTTGATGGTCCTGAGTGCACTGTCAGTGACACAGAACTCCAAATGCAATAAAGAGTATGGCTGCAGGTCCAGATACAGATCCTCACCCTGTAAATTTCTGTAGCCAGATGAATCCCACCCAAATCCCTGCTGAGCCTGACAGGGGCACTTCTCTCTGTGGGTCAGTTCCTGATCCATGATGGGAGCTGCTGGGAGAGCTGAGATACTGGCAAAGCCATGTCCACAACCCTCACACACTTTATCTCCTGTGATAAATATCTTGAGATAAAGGTGAAGGTCTTGGAATAGTCACTGTGATGCTGAGTCTTGTTCTTTTCATTTAAAGATTACAAAGCTCAAGATTGACAACAATCCATTTGCTAAAGGTTTCCGTGAACATGGGAAGAACACTCGAAGGTAAATTGTCTTTTCATTTCACTTTGTTTCTAGCTGGAGTTCACTTGTGAATTTTACCCAAGGTCTTTGAACAGAACTCCACCAGCCAGCTCTGCTGAGCTGCTGCATTGTGCACACTGCATTTCCCTGGATCTGGGAGTGATGTCCCTCTGTGCAGCCTCTTCTCAAGAGACTTGGGGAGTGGGAGGTGACAATTCCTACAGCAATGTGGGAGGTGTGACAAATTTGAGACCTGCACTCTCTTGCACATTGGAGCTAGACTGGAGTCTGACATGTGAATAGCAGTGATAACAGGAGTCCACAGCAGACCATTTGGTCTCTTGGAGATCAGCTTGATTCTGACATTTGGAGGCTCCCTTGTCTCCTTTTCTTGTGGGTGGAAAAGTGTTTTTTTCCAGGGGGGGATTTTGTCTGCAAGAGGGAAAATGGATCCCATACCATGAGATCTGCTTGGTCTGAGGGCAGCCAGTGGATGAGTTAAAAAAACCAGCTTAAATTGCAACCCCAGACTGGCAATAGAGAAGGAAAAAAAATGGAGGTTTTTTCCCAAGCAGAAAATGTTACAAAAATATCTGAGATTTTGTTTTGTGTTATTTTATGCCTGAAAAAAATCTCAGAAAAAAATTCCTGATGAAAAAAGGCCAAAACTGACTCTTTTTTACTTAAACTTTAAAAATGTTATGGGTTTTCTTTCTTTTCCTATAGCATCCCTGCCTACATATTTAGACAAAAAGCTTACATCCAAGCTACCCCCGTGTCTTGTTTCTTTCCAGGGAAGGACGAGCCAAATGCCAGAAGCCCAGTCCAGCCAAGAGCCAGAAGAGGAAGCTGCCTGAGGAAAAGGAGCCTGCTGCTGAGGAACGTGGTAATATTGATCACAACAAACCCAGAGAATGATATTCAGCAAGTTTTTAAGCTACATCATTCCTTGCTCCAGCTCATGGTGCTGCTTGCAGTAGCACAGCCAAGGAGAGGGCAGGCAGGAGTGACCACCACAGTAGCTGGGCAGAAAGGAGCTGGAAGGGGCTGTTCCCTCAAGGCAGAAGGACTGCAGGAGGTGGTTGTGTGTTTCCTTCCACCACCCTGTGATTACTGCAACTGCCAACAGGCCATTGTGAGCTTTGCCTGCCTCTTCCCCTTTCTCATTCTTTCCCGTTCTTTCTTTTCCCTGCTTTGAGTCAGATTTTGAGAAGGATGAGAATGTGGACGTGAAGGAAGAGAGTAACCCGGTGGTGGTGAGCAGTGGCTATCCCTTCTGGGCCTCGGAGCAGAACAGCAGCCAGGCCTTCCCTGCAGCCTCACCAGTGCCTGCTGAGCAGAGGGAGCCTCTGGCCAGGGAGCAGCAGGTGCCAACACCATCCTACCACACATATCGGTGAGTGCTGCCTCCTGCTCCAAAGCCACACTTCAACTGATGGGATTCCTCTTCTTCTGCTGGGCATTCCCTCAGAAAAACAGCCAGCTGGGAATAGGGGGAGGATGCCTTTCTGTTGGAGAGCACATGTGGCTGAGAGATGGTAGATTAGCATGGACATAGGTCCAAGGATAGCCTTTCTCTTCTAGTTCAAACCCACTGATTCTGGGCATGCTCATGTTTTTGTAATGTTCTTTATTTCCCTGTCCCAAAATGCTCTCCCAGCCAGCTCTCAGTACTACAGAGCTTACCTGTCCTTTGGCGGAAGTGCTGGAGGAGTTACAAGACTCCATTTTCCTTCCTCATTGCAAAATTGGGTATGAGTGAGTCCAGACTAGAACTTAGCCTGAACTAAGTTACTCTGGACTCATCTTCTCTGGCATTTCATTTTTCTGTGAGTGTGACAGTGAGGCCTGGGCTAAATTCCACAGTAACAGTAAGATGAAGCGGTAGGCAAGGGGAAGAGCTTGCCCTGCTTTTCCCCAGAGAATCTTTGTGGGTTTTCTGTGGTTTTCCACTCTGGTAGGTCTGACTTGCTCTTGTCTCTGCCCTTGCCCCTTCAGGTTCCACGAAGCTGGGGACAGCCAGCAGCTTCCCAGCCGTGACACCGCCACCCTGAACGATTTCCGCGCACGGTGCCACGCCTTGGATCTCGCCATGGTGCCCGAGCATGACTCCAAACAGCTCCCAGAGAGCTTCACCAACCTGCCCCCACTGCCCCCACCTCTGCCTCCTCCCCAGGACTACACAGGAGTGGTGAACATGGCTCTGGACTCTGTGGGGAAAGCCGGGCCCCGGGCGCCCGTGTACGGTCCCTATGGCACCGAGCAGGGCCTGGGGCAGTGGGTGGTGCCTTCCCACAGCCAGTACAGGGCAGTGAGCTACTCGGCCTTCTCCACGGAGTACAACACACAGGGAACTCCAGGACATGCCCACGGCACCATGGCAGAGTGGAGCCAGTACCCTCTGTTCCCCTATGCCTGCTGGTAAATGGGGAGGACCCTTCCCAGTGAAAAGACTGGAAGAAAATTGTAAATGAGATTGAATTTACTGTTGGACTTGTGAAGCTTTGCCTACACTAGGCAGAGGTATTGCTGCAAGCAGTAGAGTGGGACACCTTCACTTCCTTGTGTCCTTGCACAACAACCCTCACCATATTTCACAAGCAGTGGTTGAACTGGTGGCTGCCCCAGCCATGTCACTGTGGATCAGGCTCAATGTGTTGTGCAGTGGTTTTTTCCCAGCAGGAGCAGGAAACCACAGGTCTGCAAGAACAGTATTTAAATAGCTGCTGAACTCACAGTCAGTGTTGGCACCTTGCATTTGGCAGCTTCCAACATCCCTTCCTCCTGGGACTTGGTGCAAGGAGATAGGGGCTGAGGACTTCCAGTAAGCCATCCACGTGGCCAGAAAGATGTAGAAAATATTGCAAAGCAGAGCAGAGCAAGCAATCCTGGTGAACTCTGAGCAGCTTCCTCAGCAGTCAGTGTAGTCAAAGTAAAGCTAGAGTCTTGCCTTTCTTCCAGCAGCAGGTGAGAGTAAAATGCACAGCAAGGTGTGTCTGGAGCCCAGCAGGGGCAGAGTTTGCAGAGTCTGCAGGCAAGGGAGAGTTTGTTCCATGTAGGAGACGTAGCAGCAAGGCTACGTCTGTGTCTTCCTGTCCCTGTGTCCATCCCTCCTCTGCCAGCCCTAGATTTGAGGTCAGTGAAATGTTCTTCATTCTGTGGATGTGGAGGGACGTGGTTCATGAAATGTGGGGGGCTCCTCTGGGGCTTTCCAAGGTTGTCAGAAGCAGGGCCATGAACAGCAGTGCTCTCTGTCACTCCAGACTCTTCCTTTGGAGGGAAAGGAGATTTTCCACTGTGAACTTACTCCTTCTCCTGCTTCCTGCCACGCCTGGAGAATATAATTTATAGCTGTGCTTCCTGCCCTGCTCTGTGAGTGTGTGAAGTTATCTCACCTGTTTGGGAGTCTGCAGGGATCTGTCCATGTTTAGTTATCAGGTGGTTCCACCTCCCTCCTCTGTGGTCCCATCCTGGGCAGGAGCAGCCTGTGCACTGCCAGTCAAGCAGGGATTCTTCTCATCTTCCTCTTAGAAGGGGGAGGCCTCCCTGTTTGCCCACGTGCAGATGGCACTGGGGACTTGGTGACACAGACTCATTGCTTCTCAGGGAGGATAGACATGCTCCTGGGTGTTATTTAGGGAATGTTTTCGTGTCACACTAATAGCTGCTGTGTGGCACTGAGGTGTGTCATTTAGCCTGTGTGCCAGATGGTTTTCTGTGTGAGAGTGTGTGTGTGTAGCAAGATGTTATCTCTGAGCAGACCTGTGCAGTTTGTGCCTCAGGACCCCTGTGCAGGGACACTGGGAAAGGCTGTGCACCAGGTTTTTGGGGCACCAGCTCCTCACTGTGCATGTGCATAGCATAGGGATGTTGAGCCATGCTGTTATTGTTAAAATTGCTGTGAAAAGCAGCCCTGTAAATCTGTGGGCTCAGCTACAATGACTGTTTTCTTATTTAAATTGTATATTGCAAACTGCTTTTGTACCACAATTATGATATGTACAGAGCAGCTGAGTACTTCCCCTGGGCTTCCCGGGGTTTGAGGATGTGCAGCATTGAAATAAAGGTCAGACTTTGCCACAGTACATGTACATAATGCCCTGTGAGCCTCCCCTCTGATGGCACCCTGGCCAGTAGTGATTTGTACCTGCTGTGCATGACACACATGTGGATGTGAGCAACTCACTTAAAAAGAAATCTGGCTAGGCAAACAAAATGTGGAGCAGGCCTTTGTTAATGCCAAAATATCATGATTTCCTGCTGCCCAAATGCCAGCTGTGTGAAGGCAGGTCAGCTGTAAAACGCTGTCTCTGGCCATTAGTAGTTAATTTTGCTACCACTGTCCTTCACATCTTGGAAATGAGAGGAGCAGAATGGCCGGGGAGGTGAGTGAGTGCCTTGGGCACCATGTGCAGGGACCCGAGGGGGTACTTTGTGCATGGGATCGCTGCCAGCAGCATGCCCACAAGAGAGAGAGAGAGAGAGAGAATGCATCCCCCACAGGCTACCTGGTTGGATCTTTATCTTTGTAGCTGGGATGTGTTTCCCTGTCACGGAGCGCTAATGAGGATGAAAAGCTGCAGCGAGCATGAGTAACTGAGGCCAGCTGGGCAGCACTGGGGAATTCCTGTGAAAATCCGAGTGCAATGCCGTTTCTTTCAAACCTTTGCAGTAGCAGCGCAGGTGCTGCTGCCCCCTGGGCATGTCGGTAGAGCTGGTTTGGCAGACGGGGTAAAAGACTCGGCTTTGTGCCTAGGACGAGCCATCAATTACTCATCAGCCTTCTGTTGCAACAGGACTGCTCGCCCTTCTCCAGTGAATCATCCGGCGTGCAGAAGTACCTATCCTTTCTCTCTGATTAGAGACTGCTCGGCTCGCTCGGGAAGCCTTGGGAGATTTTGCCTGTAGGTGTGCTCTGGACTCTGCTCCCGCCCCCTCGCTCTGCAGCTCCCACTGCCTTGTTTTCCTAAGCTGTGGCATTTCAAGCCTGTATGAGCTCGATTGAAATGCTGGTTTTGCACGCATATGAGATAATGTAACGCCTCTGACAGCTTCAATAAAAGGAAATGAGACATGTGGAAGTCAGGCCATTAAGACTAATAAAATAAACTCAAAAGTGTAGGTTTTGTGCATCTTTCTCAAGCACAACGTGCTGTGCTTTAGTCATGTTACCTGGGGCCAGTTTGTACATGCATGACACGCTGTTGATTTCAGCATTCATTGTTCTCCACAGTGTGTTCAGTGAGCCTCAGGTTATCTGCGCACACTGCTAGATGTGAGTCAGGCTCTTGCACCAATTCTTTGCAGCAAATTGTTTATTTTCTCTGTGTTTTCTGCTCCACTCCTGCAGAGAAGTTACATAAGGAGGAGGGCAAATGGACTATAAATGGGATCTAGGTAACTTTCCTATGGGAAAATCAAGATCTTGATTTATTTTGGTTTCTCCTACTGGTTTTTGCAGCCTTAAGCCTTGTCTTCCACTGCTTCAATGCAGATGGGAATGGCAGAAAAATGCTTTCTTGCCGATGCTGCGGTTCTTGCCCAGGCAGCTGCGGGCTCGGCAGTTTCCCTGCGGCACAGCGAGCTCCCGGCTCTGCCCACAGCCCTGTGGGGACGCGGCGAACTGTGCCCTCTGCACTTGGACCTGCGCTGGCTCTGCAGGAACAACTTCCAGCTGGTTTCACTGAGAGCTTTTCTAATTCCCAGCTGCTGCAGGGACAAGGATGTGAGGGGTTACTGCGAAACCAAGCTCTGGGACGGTGCCACTGGCCGAGCTCCGCCCCGGAGCGGGGGCGAGCCCTCACGCGTGTGGGGCAGGGCAGGGTTAGGGTTAGGATTAGGCTCTGTAGGAACAACTTCCAGCTGCTTTCACCAACAGCTTTTCTAATTTCCAGCTGCTGCAGGGACAAGGGTGTGCGGGGTTAGTGCGAACCAAGCTCTGGGACGGTGCCACTGGCCCAGCTCCGCCCCGAGGCCGGCACCTGGAGCGGGGCCGAGCCCTCACGCGTGTGGGGCAGGGCAGGGCCTGCCTGGCCCGCGGGGCTCCGAGCGGGCCATGGAGGCTCCCGGTCTGCAGAGAGACCTGAGGAGATCGGGGGAGCAGCATTTCGATGCTGGGCTGGGGCTCCTGGAACACCTGGTACTGGGCAGGACTCATGGCTTGCTTTTGGCTGACCCCACTGCTGGTATGGGTTGTCTGTCCTGGTGCTCCTTGAGCCTCCCAGGAGACTGCGATGGCATTTCCTTGGGCAGCCCAACTACCGGCTCACTTTAAGGAGATCCAAGCAAGCAGCGCAAACCCCCTCCCAGGAATAACAACATTCTTTCAAGTCAAATGGCTTTTTATTGCAGAGCTTAAAATCCACTTAATTCCCAAGCCCTAGGGTGGGATCCATGCGGAGCCTCTTAGCAGGGGGGAGGCAGCATTTGGCTGGAGCAACAAGCGGTGCTGGGCACCTGCTGTGGGCAGCTGGAGCGGCTCTGGGCCTCATCCCTGCTGCCAGAGCTGCCCACCATGCACCTGCCTGCCCTTGGCCTCCAGGCACCCACTGAGTGCCAAGAGCAAAGAGAGAGGGATAAAACCGTGCAGGGCCTGCTGGGGAATGGAGGCACCTCTCTGGATCCTGGTGGGGATGGGCTGCTCTGTGTCCCTCAGCTGCTCTGGGCACAGCCACGGCCTTGCTGCAGTGTCAGTGGCTGTGAGGGAGTTTTCCTGTATTTTCACAGGAATTCCCCTGCTCCTGCCTCTGCGGCTCTGTTCCCAGCCCTCTACTGCTGGCCTGGCCCCCTGCTCCTCCAGGTAAGCTGCTTTGTACTGTCCTGCCTTGCAGAGCTATAGTGAGTAAGAGCTAAATGTGCTTTCTGGGCATTGCAACAGGAGGAGCACAGGGAGAGGCTTATAGGACTCAGTGAAGGGAGTAGGAGAAGTGTTTCTCCCCCACAGCACACAACATGCACGTCCCAGAACAAACCCAAAAAACCTGGGCCTGAGCAGAAGTGTCAGACAAAATTTTAACCGAGGGTGAAGCAAACCTTTGATGCAGGGTTGAGAAGAGGTGCTGCAGCTGTGCTGAGCAGTGTTGCTGTTCAGCTTAGTTTAGTGTTATTCCTTTTTTGTTTTTCCAAGTCGTGTGAGTTTGTTTTATTACCCGAAGCACTTTGCTGTGGGGTGCTGGATTGCCTCTGACACTTCTCTAATACTCAATTTCTTTTCTTTGAACATGCAGGTGTACAACTACAGTGCTCCTGCCCAGACAGCACCCTGCTTGGTGAGTGTAATGGATAGATTTAATTTTGATCTCCTACAGTTCTTTGGGGACATGCTGAGATTTTTATTTCCTCCTCCTCTATTTTTACTGAAGAGGGTAAATTATGTGCCTCCATAAAGCAGAGTGGGCAGCCAGTGATACAGGATGGGCATCCCATCAGTCATGCACCAGGCATAAAGCACTGCTCACTTTCAGTATCTCTGCCTCTCGTTGTACAAGTATGACTGTACATGTAAAAACAGCAGCTGTTCACAGGAGAGACTTCCTGTGTGCTGGCACTGTCACTCCAGCTCCCATCTGTGGGGTTGCTAAGCTGGGGCACCTGTGGTCTGTGTAACTGTGAGTCCTTGCTGGGAGATGGGGCATTAGGGGTGATCTGAGATGGGGCATTAGGGGTGATGTGAGATGGGGCATCAGGGGTGATCTGAGCTGGGGCGTTAAGGGTGATGTGAGATGGGGCATTAGGGGTGATGTGAGATAGGGCATTGAGGGCGATCTGTGGGGAGTGCCGGTGCGGGGTAGGCAGGGATGAGTCAGGCGTGATTCCCGTCACACCGCGGGGTCTGTCCCCGTGCTGAGCAGCCAGCCCTCTGCTCCCCCACAATCTGCTTTGGAGAGCAGCTCAGGCTCTGCCCAGCGGCGTTCGGTGAGGGGGAAATGGGAATTGCTTCAGTAGGCTCAAGTCAGCCCTCCAGGGATAAAGGCAGTGAACTAGAGCAGTGGAGGGGATGTGATCAAACCCGCTGTTCACCCAAAGGATGTGCTGAGCATGGCACTGACATGGGCTGAGTGACACTGATG